TAGATCATAAGACGGGGTGCTCGAAATCCCAGTTTCTATCTGTACTCTGGGAAAGATACGGTCAAAATTGTTGATAACTCCTATTGGTCCATTGCGGGCAAAGAGTAGGTTGTTATGCAACCAATCTAACTTGGGATTCTGTTTTACATGCTCCTCAGTTGCAATATAACATGTTATCTGTCAGTAAATTGATGTATGATATTGATTGTGTTGTTAATTTCTCTTCTGATAATTGCAGATTTCAGGATCGTCGTTTGGGGAGATGATTGGAACTGCTAAGAGTGTAACGAATTTCATCTACTTCCAAGAGAGTAGCACCAGGAGTGAGGACAGACCTTTCAAAAGTTGTAGTTCTTCTCGGGTCATTAAATGTCTCATTATGTCGTTTGGGTCATCTTAGTTTCCAATATTTAAAACATTTGTATTCTTTGATATTCTTTAATAAAAGTTTTTTTTTCTAGTAAGAGTGTGCATTATTTGGTCAAAACCGAAAAATCGAATTGAACCAATCAAGTTTGGTTGGTTTGGTTTGATTTTAAAATTAGATTTTGATTTTAGGTTTTAAAAATTTTAATATTTGATTTTCGATTTTTGCTTCAATATTAATTTTCATTTAACTAAACAAACCGAAAAATCAAAATTTTATCAAAAAAATTTTAATACTTTTAACTTCATGACAAACAAAGTAAGAAAATTAAAATTTTTACTATATTTAATATTTGATTAAAATAAATAAAGAGTTCATGAAATTAAATTAATATTATGTGGATAAATAATGTAATTTGCAATGCTTGTTCTTAGCCAAATTTTAAAAAATAATTAAATTTCAGTTTTTCTTAACTGAATCAAGTTTCGATTCAGTTAATTCGGTTTTATCAAAATTTAGATTGATTCAATTCTCTGGATTATGAATTTTGGTTGTAATCAGTTCGATCAATTTTAAAACCGATCCATCTAAACCGACCGAATGCTCACCCCTACTTTCTAGTTTCAATTATGAGACATGTCAGTTAACAAAAAATCATCGGGTTCATTATCTATCCCATACTTACACAGCTTCTGCTCCTTTCTCACTCATTCACAGTGACATGTGGGGACCCTCTTGCCCTTCTAGCTACACCAATAAACGGTGGTACATAACCTGATTGATCATCACACTCGGATTAAGAGGGTCTACATCTTACAAGATAAATAGAAATTGCAGTCACATTCCAAAACTTCTACACCTTCACGTTGACCCAATTCGAAACTCAAATTTGGGGTCCTTAAAACCGACAATGACTGTAAATTTTTTAACTCTATTTTAGGTGAATTCTTAGTAAGGGCGTCATCAATCATAGCTCATATACGAACACTCATCAACAAAATATAGTAGCTGAGAGAAAACCATCAACTTCTCAATGTAACTCGCTTTAATATGTTTCAATCTAATGTCCCGAAACTGTTTTGGAATAATGTTATTATGAGTGCCACTTATCTCATCAATATTCCCCTTCAAAATTCACAATTTTTGAACCCCCTTAGCCGTCCTCATGTCAGATTTTTCTGTCAATTGGTTAGATCCCAAAATATTTGGGTGCAAAGCCTTTGTTCGGAACACCGCTCTCACTCGGAGTAAACTTGATACCATATCCATAAAATGTATCTTCTTAGGGTACTCCGCCACTCAAAAAGGGTATTCATATATGGATCCTACCACAAACAAAGACTATGAAAGTGCTGATGTCTACTTCTATGAATGTGTTCCCTATTTTCCTTCCTCAATCTCAAGTGAGGGGGAGAGTGAGTTTTTTGACATTATTCCTTATTTGACTCTTGCGGATGTTCGCCCAGTGTTCTTGCCACTAAGGTGCCTCTTGTTCCGTTGAGTCCACCACCTCCTCCCACTGTCTGTGTCCACTTGACACACTCATCCCGATGTTATTACTCTGGAGCGTGCTACCTCCTTGCAAGACCATGACTCCACTCCGGGCGACATCCTCATCACGACCCCTCCTCCGAAAGAGCAGGTAAAAATTCTCCAAGGTACGCAATCAGACATTCTCTCATCCTATGACAAAATATGTTCATTTTCGCAGTTTATAACCGACGTATAGAGCTTTCGTTACTGCTTTGACAAACCATCATATCCCTACTAATATTAAGGTTGCTCTGGCGAATCCGGCTTGGAAAATGACTGTAATGGAGATGGATGTCGTTCGGCTGAACCATACATGTGACGTCGTTGATATATCATAGAGTAAGAAAGTGATGGGTTGTCGATGGATTTTCAGCACCAAGTTCTACCCGGATGGATCCTTTGAATACAATAAGGCACCGTTGGTCGGAAAAGGGTGCTTCCAAACAAACGGAGTTGACTATGAGGAGACACTTGCTCCAGTGGCTAAGCTAAACACTATTCAGATCTTGTTCTCACTTGCAGTGAATGTGGATTGACCTTTTTTCCAACTAGATGTCAAGAAAATGTTCTTGAATGGAGAGCTTATTAAAGAGGAGTACATCCCTCCCTCCTGGCTTCGAATCTACTGTCTCACAAGGGCAAATGTGCAGGTTACGAAATCCCTCAATGGACTTAAGCAATTCTGAAAGGTCTAGTTAGACAAGTATGCAAAGATGATCGTGGGTCATGATTTTACTCAGACTCAATCGGATCACATGCACTTCTTCCAACATTCCTCCAATGACCATGTAGCTATACTTATTGTCTATGTTGATGGTAGTATTCTCAAAGGTAACAATCTCCTAGCATTGAAGTACTTGAAGGGAATTCTTGCTAAATCCTTTGAAATGAAAAACTTGGGATCACTCTAGCAGTTCTTAGGCATGAAAGTTGCTCGGTCATCTTGGGGCATTTGTTTGTTTCAACGCAAATATTTGGTTGACTTCGTGATAGAGAACAATATTCTTCTGCGCAAAACAATGGTTATCCCGATTGATCTCAATGAAAAATTATTTGACCTTTCAAATGTCCTTCTTGTCAACAAGACTTATTAACAGCGTCTTGTGGGAAAGCTCATCTCCCTAGCTCATACATGTCTCGACATATGTCATGCAGTTGGTATAGTAAGTCAATTCATGCATGACCCATATGAGCACCATATTCAAGCCGCCCACCATATTTTGCACTATTTAAAAGATACGTCAAACTCGGGCTTGTTTTCTCATGCTCTCATTCTATTGCAATTTACATTGACGCTGATTGGGCTGAGTCGGTCCATGATCGACATTCTACCTCGGGGTACTGCTCATTTTTGTGGGGGACTCTTGTCACGTGAAAAAGCAAAAAATAGTCAGTGGTGGCCAAGAGCAGTGCTAAAATTGAATTTCGGTCCATGTCCTTGGGGATCTATGAAGTTCTCTAGCTACGCATCATGCTTCGTGAACCTCTTATGCCAACCTCCATCCCGCAGCAATCATTCTATAATAATACAATCGCCATCAACATTGCTCACAATCCAATTCAGTATGATAACACCAAACATCTAAAAATTGACAAACATTTCACCAAGGAGAAGATTGAGTCTGGAAAAATTTGTGTTCCAGTTGTGCCCTCCAATGGCCAACTAGCGGATATCCTCACAATGAATTTTCCTTATCCTTTATTCGATGACTTAAAATCCAAGTTAAACATGACTGACATCTATGCTTCAACTTGAGGGGAGCATTAGATTTATTAGATTTATTGGCTTTCCATAGTAATTATTTATTAATTACCTTTAATCTACATTATGTAGTTTCATTTTTATCTTCATTTTGATTTTATTTTTTTGGTTGTGTTGAAGGTGAATCAATCAAGTTGAAAAGTGGTTCAATATGTTTCAAAGATGATTCAAAATTAGTTCAATCATATAGCCGACCCCATTTAGTGGGATAAAGGCTTGTTGTTGTTGTATAGTTCAATCATAGTTCGAAGATGTTTAGAAGATTCAAAAGAAGTTTAAAGGTGGTTTGAAGAAAGTTCAAGATTGCTCAAAGATGACTCTAAAAAGTTTGTAGCTAGGATTATAAGGTCTATTGGCATTGGGACTAGTATTTAGAGCGACACATTTAAATCTAATTAATCAAACATGTATCATCACATATCTTGACTTGAATGGAGAGATTATCAGGATAAAAAATTATTGTACATCGATCAGAAACACTCTAAGATCGCCAAATACAGAGATGTTGGGAAGAAAATTGGTTGACAAGCTCCTTTGATTGAAAGATGGCGAAACTATTAAGCAATGGTTTCAACTCGTATTTGTAAAACATGAGAGTATTTTGGTCTGAAACAAAATTTTGGGCATATTTTTCTGATTTTGGATATTATGAGACATATGAAGTTAAATTTCTAATAATAGTTAATCAAATGGGGACTTAAAAGTCAAGTATTAAGTCCAAGTACAATTTAATAGAAAACCTCTTTCCAAATCCCTTGTTTTTCGATTTGGACTACTAAAAATTCAAAATAGAAAATAAAAGCCAAAGTGATACCAGAGTTAACCCAAAACAGGATAGAAATGCAAATTATTGTTGAAATTCAAGAAGGTTACACGACGACCCATTTAGACAAAAAAATAAGCAACAAACAACACCTAGGGCGAGAACGAGGATGGTGTTAATGGCTGGACAGCTGGTAAGAAGGCTGGTTGGAGGCCGCAACCCTAACTGGAGAGTGAAAGTTGGGTTGCGATAGCAGTTGTAGGGTGTGGATGGGTTGCTGGGTCCTGCAAACGGGTGGATTGGTGTTGTGACAATAACATGCAATAACGGGAAGGCTTTGCAGCAACTGTAAGGGAGCAGGAGTAGGTTACAACAAGGCAGAAGCGGGTAGTTGGGAGGGGAGGTGGGGGGAACAGGAATTTAAAATTAGAAAAACCAAAAACTAAACCCTAAGACAACAAACAAACATATTCATAATTATTTTGCGTCACAAAGTCTTGACCTAAATTAGAGGAACTAATAAGAAAGTAAAGATCTTGAGATTGATAGAGCAAAGAACATGGATGGATGAGAACCTGGAATTCCCCAAAGTATTCTATATGTTGGTTGTAAGCTCTCTTCATCGAACTCTACACAGGCATTCTCAAAAGCATGATTGCTGTGGCAAAAAAATGGTAGTGACAATTATTCATAAAATCAAACTAAGGAATTTTTACCAGATCATGAAAAAAGGAACTAATGTTGATTGATGATAAAATCTATCAATATTTGACATCGGAAAAATTAAAGCAAAAAATAGCATCTACAATTTGGAATGGTTAACATTTATAAACATAAAAATATTGATTTTCTCTTAAAAATAAGTAGAAATGAGTTATATGGCAAGATAAATTTAGCAATCATACATGATATAGGACTATCATAGCACTCCAACTTTCATAATACACCTGAGAAGTTTTGCGTTTGTAATTGAGATATAAGTGCCTAGTTTTCTAAGTATACCAGTCATTGACAACTTCTAAATCAATAGAAGAAAATTAGCTGCAAAAAGTAATTTCTAACAGAGCGAAAGTTTGTTTCACTTATATGACATGCCCAGTGATCCCCTTTTCTAAATTGTGTTCAGACATAAAGTAGATTGAGAGAGTTAAATGCATTGATTCTCCATCAGTATTCGAAAATAGTTGGAGGACAATGTGTGTCCTACGAAGCATACTGAGATGCATTATATCTGCCTTTCTATGCATTTTTAACTTAGTAATATTGATAGGAAAAACCTCAAAGGTCAAAGAATGTGTTGAAATTCGTTCAAAAGTTTCCTTCGCTAAACTGCATCCTAATAGTACACATGCATCTCCTAGCTGGCTAAGAGCATCAAATGTCTTGAGAACTTCAGCAGATGGGGAAAATTTTTCAGAAATTAATTGTAAATTATAAATTATATAACAGATTACTAATTTTTAACAATATGTAAAGCAAATTCAACCTCCCATGTAACTTTATGGAATAATAATTAATTTTTGCCCATATATCTCGGTAGACTTTTCCACTCCAACTGTCAACACTTATGCATGTGATTACCATAAAACAGAATGTTCTGAAATTTTTTAGAAGCGAGATATAAATACCAAAACAAGAAAAGCAGTTGCTCAGGGAATGAATATTTAGCCAGTTGGTGAGGTACAAAGAAGAGTTGATGCAGAGTCTAAAGGTCTGTTTGGTGCGGCTGTCTCTGCGGGGTGCGGCGGGAGGCAGCAGGTTAAGGTCGTTTGGCGCGACGTTTCCCTCGTGGCAGCCGCAAATTTGAGCAAAATGCCGGCCCGCGTTATCACTCCGATATTTTACTTTTGTACCCCTCCATTCGATCCCGCCTCACCTTCTTTACCTGCCCCGTCGACTACGAGCTTCCTTAGCCCTAACCGTCGCAGGGGGATCGGGAATAGAGGATGTCGGGATACAGGAGGAAAAGGAGAAAGGTGAGTTCAACGAGCTCACAACAGCCATCACGCCGCTAAAGAGGGAGCAAACGATCCTCAATCAATTATACTTGCCTCCTAGCCGAGAAATACCATATTCCGCTCTGATTTCCTCTCCGCAACTATTCGATAGAAAGGCAAGCAGTTTTCTGCTATATATTATCTTACCGCGTTTACACCAATATTTTACCAATCCCTGTGACGTCTCTCCTCTTCTTTGTTTGTTTTTCTCTTTTCTGATCGCTAAAATGGCAACCGAGCTTGGAGAAGAAACTGGAAAAGCTACAAGAGGTCTCTGCTTGTGGCCAAGCGCATATAAGAGATTGGATGCACGCGGTCAACATATGAAAATATATTATACAATGGTTTAAGAAGCCATAAAAATGAACACCAAATTCATACTACTTATTACAAAAATATTCCTCTTCTATCCATGTTGGGGGATGGTGGCATGGGAAAAGTGGCATGGGAAAGACAACTTTCTTACAATATGCATATCACAATCTGAAAGAGGATTTTGAGCTTAAAAGTTATTGCTAATATGTTGAAATATCTTGAATGAGAGATGCTCCACTTGGAGACGTGCTAAGTTTCATCTGAGTCATATCTTTTGTGTGTTATCTAAGAAGTATATGCTAGTTCTAGATAATATTTGGGAGGAGCATGAAAGCTAATCAGAGCATGTGCCTTCTCCCCTGGCTTTTGTAAGTTTGGGAGGTAAGATTTTGATAGTAACTTTGATAAATTGAATAGACATTCTATGTATAAAACCAGCACCGAGCCAGAATATGAATAAGATTTTGTACATTCTATGATTGAGTTATACATTTGTTTCAGAACGTCTACAAAATTATTTCGCATTTTGTATTGTATTGTCACGAGATCATCGGCTTGATAAAGATAATTTAGTTTGAATGTAGATTGCATTCTTTGATTCACCATCTAATTCTTGGCAAACTTTGGAAGATGTTAGAAGAAGTTATTTTGATATTTTTTATGAGAAAAACATTAGTTAAATGTTCAAATGCTTTCCACATTTGGACGTAATATGCTAGGAGATTGAAAATTTGATACATCTCCGATATTAAAATTTTTCTCAAGCTCGTGTGCTACCATGAACTGTCAGCTATCTTTATCACTTGCAATTTATAATCTATGAAAAATATATATGGACGAACGCGCTTCTGATATACTTTCTGGCATTGGCCATCCATAATGCCTAAATTTGTTTGTTATTCTATTTGCTTTTACTTTTCATTGCTTCAATTTTGTATCAATATATATTCCAGTGCTTGTGCCTCCTTTTCAGTTCATTGACTACCTTATTATTGTATTGATTTTTTTAGAAGACTATGATGAACCGTATGACCGTAGGGGTTCTCCTGGATGGCCTCTCTTTTGCCATGCTTTTCTACATATACACGTTTGGTCTTAAGAGCATTTGGCAACCATGATCCCCTACTATATGGTTCTTCTGCCTTCTTTTGATGGCATGTGAATGTATTATTCATGTTTACTCTAAGCCCTAGTATTTTTAAGGGTGATGTACATACATACCACAAAAGTCTTATGTATTTACGTATCTAACTTCTACGCTTGATTGTTTTCAATTACTTAATATTTGGTTCGAATCTTTTTTTTTTGGTGATTGTAAAATCCTAATTCTATAGGTTCATGATGAGTCATATGACCTAATAAGTCTTCTGGATGGCCTTTCTTATATGCTTTTCTACATACCCAACTTTGGTGTCCCGGGAACCAAGAACCCCTGCACTATGGGTTCCCTGCCATCTGTTGATGATAGATTATTGATCTCATTAGTTTAACTAAATCATGATTTTTCTTAATTTTTTTTAATAAAAACTTTGGTTGAATGGTTATTTTTTCGATTTCAGCTTCTGAATTATCGAATATGTCGCTGTCATAGTTTTGTTTTAAACAACTTCACTATACAGGGGCAAAATAATCATTTTTCCAGAAACAACTACCCCACAGCTGTTCTCACACAGATGCAACAAACAGACAGCCAACTTCCCCGCAGCAGCTTCCCCACAACAGCTTCCCGGGGTAACGCAGCTGTGTCAAACAGAGCCTAATTTTAAATGAAGATTTACATACATAACACTCCTATGCATTCACATATCTAACACTGAAAATTCAATTTTTACATGCATTCCACCTTTCCCATGCATAAAAAGGTGAATTTCACTTTTTAAAATAGAAAATGGTGGTTTTTTTATGTGATATGAAAGATGTGGGAAAATGTACAAAAGTATAGTTTAGGTGTCAGATATGTAAATACATATGAATTGGGCGGTATGTATGTAAATGCCCCTATTATAATATTAGCAGAAGACTACTCACGAAATGCAGCTTATGCCAATTGTAAAACATCAAAGGAATTAATGTGCAGTCTTTTTTTATTAATTTTTCTCTTGAATTAAAAGGGAGTTTGTTGAATCCTAAATTGTCTTTCGAAATACACACTTCGCTCAGAGGAGAGAAAATATAATAGAGAGAGAGAGAGTTGAAAGCCCTTTTATTCATGTTATGACCTCCCATTTATAGGGGTCTAAAAATTAGAGTTACAAAAGAAAGGGATCAGTTATAGTAACTGCCAAAATAACTGAATCGGTCTGTCTGTCGAGTAAAAAATACATTTATTATACAAGTAAAATATAATATTCATCGATCGTCAGATGTTACGGGATCGATCAATTATGTCAGTTGACGGCGTGCAAAATCATTTCGTCGAGGGAATCGGCCGATCGCTCATAGGTATTCGTACAATTTTGGTGAGAGGTCAGTCGATCGACAGATCCATCGACTAGGTCAGCTGGCTAGGTTTGTCAATTGATAATGGTTGGTCGACCCTGTTGTGCAATCAGTCAACTACTTAGCCAATTTGGATCACACCTTATGGTTCGTAACTTCGATCGTTTGAGGCTTCAACCTAGCCGCTTGATCCCTTCAAGATTCATGTTGACAGTTTTACCATATATAGAGCCTGTTTTTGTGATTTGCACGTTTGACTTCTGAATCACAATAAGTCTCAATTTACCATATTATAAAACACAACAAAAATATGGCTCTAAATTTTATCTCAAACCCAAGCAAAATAAGAATGATATGAAGCCCATAGGAGACATGAAACATTCAAGATTTTAATGTGGCTTCAACCTAGACGGAATTGTTATTTTAATTGCAGTGAAAATTGTTACTAATCAATACTTGGCACTTTCCAAAGACAATAGCTGCAAATATCACCCTGCTTATAACTAAAATGGGAAGTACCTGTATTTCAGTGTTTTAACTTCACCATGATGAGTGGTAGCTACTGTTAGAAAAGAACCGCTGTCAGCAAAAGATTCAAGAAGTGACATCCCCAAGGCTGCCCCTTCAAGTGGATTTGTTCCAGCACCAACCTTAGGGTAATGAAGAAAAAAATGCCAGACAAAACGAAATAAGTGGCAAGTACAATTAACTAATAAAGTTTTGGTGCATCATGTGCTGAATCAAAATTATCTTGAATTATCAAAATTGCAAGTATTGATTATCTTGATTCAGTCCTAAACTTCATGAACTGAAACTTCACTTAATCAAAAGCAATGTAAATTACCAAGTATTGAATCTTACTTCCAGTAAAATCGTCCTAAACTCTCTCTCTCTCTCTCTCTCACTCTCTCTCACACACACACAGACACATGCACTATTTATAGCAAATGAATGATACCCTTTCCAAGGAAGGATGCACCAAATATGAGTTATCAAACTTAACATTAAAAGCTGAACTATATTGCTTCATTGAAGAAGTTTAACTTGAGACCACGCATTCTGTTTTCCTAGAAGCCAAAATCTTCGATTAACTCCACAATTGTACATTGTCGGGTATTGATTAAATACCAGTTCAACAAATCTAATATAATAAATTGGCGGAGAAAACAAAATGGAAGAAGCATGGGAGTAAGGAATCTAAAAGAAAGAAGATCAGCATAAAAGAATTTGACACAAGGATGTTAGTAAACAACTTACTTCATCTAACAGTACCAATGATTTACTTGTTGAATTTGAACGAATAGCCTGGCAAAAAAAAACTGAAAGTAAATGCAGTGCTCAGAAAGTCAATACCATAAACTGTTCACATAACATTTGGATTAAAAGCACAAGGCAATGATCAGAAATTCATGGATAAGTAACATAATGTTTTCATTAAAAGTGCATTGCCTTCATGAAGACAGAGATTTGAAGCGATAAAATTTAAAGAATGCCCAAGCACCAAGAAAACGTTTTTAACAACGCCAACGTAAAAATATCACTTTTTTTCTGACAATGAATTTTCCACTAAATCTACTGCTAAAGATTTCTAGACAAGAATGTCCCCCACCCCTACCTCCAACACCAACTTTTTCTTGACGACAAAGGCATAAGTAACAATTTGTTTGGGAAAGTTGCAGGAAGGAGAAGAAAAATCAGTTTGCTGGAAGGCGGCACTATAAAGAAGTTGACAAAAAATTTGAAAAGAAACAAAAGATCAACTTTTGACCTCATTTTTTGTGAGGTCTCTTACTCTTCTTAGAGCCTAGGATCTAGCCTTAGGGTTTACTACCGACTTTCTTAGAGGACTAGTCTGGGACCGGTACCAATTAGAAATTCAAGCCACTTCTTGACTCCTCGCAGTTTCATATGACCGGTCCTAAATCCTCAACGCTTAGTTGAGTCGATTAAAACGTGACGAAGCTCGAGTCGAATACCCATAGGATATAAAGCCTTAGGAAACCCATTGCGACCTTCGCACGCTTTCACGATGCACGAATACCACAATTCACGCGTCGATGCACGTAATTATCGAAATTCACATCATTTGCACCTGTAGAAGGCTTCGCGATTGATCAAACTCGAATCAATTGCTGGAACAATTGATCACGGGCGGTAATTTTAAAGAAATTTGAATTTGGCACGTTTTCGACCTGACCGTCGACGAAGCCGTCCGGGTGACCCCGGATGACGAAACAAATAGTCGGCGCGTCCGAGACGTCGAATTTAGCTAGAGGAGACACTTATTCTTGATATGTTCGGGACAAGGTTGAATAGTGCACGAATCGGAAAAATTTGCATATCTTATATTATATAATTAATATTTATGTTAATATATAAATATATAAGATAGGGAGCGGCTGTGGGTTTTAATCTTCCTTTAATCCCTAATTTGTTTCCTCGTCCCCTTCCCCGCACCTAGACCCGAATCGAACCCTACCTTGCGACTGCCCTTGGTTCCTCCTCTTCGTGTGACGAGGAGTTGACTTCGTCTCTCTCGACATCCTCTACCCGAGCTGCGGCTTCCCGAAACACCTTTTGCTTCATCTCGCTGAGCGTGAACCCATACGCGGTACGTTGACACTGTGCGTTTGTTCCCTGAGTCACGAATGTGGCAATCTCCCTCCTTCCCGATAGTTCCTACCTCTGTAGCCTTGGTTGCAGTGCGGTCTTCTTTCTGCTGGGGTGGCTTCGCCCGGGTAAGTCCAGTGAGCTTTTCTTTCCTTCTTTCGCACCTATAAAAGCCCATGTGAGGGGATTGATGTGGGGTTACGGACTAAGAATTTGGGGGCGACTGTCGGAATCGCCGCTTGTGCTTGCGACCCTGGTGTTTGGGAAACCTTCTGATTCTCTTCTTTTGTTTGCAAAGGCTCAAGTGAGGTGTATGTTTTCTTCTTCCCCTGCCTTCTTTCTCTGTTCGATAGGGATTGTGCGTAGATTTCTCTTCTCTATAAAAAAAGGGGGAAAACATGTGTAAGGTGGCTTATTTTGTATTTGCTGGTATTTAATGTTGGAATCATTGTTAGCTGTTGGATTTTCATTTGTCTTAGCTGGTATTTAATGTTGGAATCATGGCTTGCTGTTGAATTGTAGCTGACTTTAGTTTAAATGCATACTGCTGGGCCTGTTTTGAATGCTCTATGATGTTTAGCTGGAAATGTAGGCCACGAAAGGCAAGATTCAATTCTTATGTAGCTCCTTATGTTCTAATCACATCTATATTGGCATATTCAAATTTCAGGGGGCTATTTTACTCCACTGGGCTGCGGTTTTCCTTGCTGTATTGGTTTGACACAGAGGCTTTTGAAAATTTTATGATGGGGATTTTGTTCTAGTGTTTCTTTTCCGCCTTCTTCCCCTTTCAAAACGTTTGTAGCTGACTCTTGAGGTTTCCTTCGGAGTTTTATGTTGGGGCTTTGGTTTTGCTGCTACCCTGTTGCCCCTCTGTTTGAAGCGTATGCAGGCGAATTAATTTGGTTTTGGGAGCCTGATTTTGCTCTCTGTTCATCCCACTATTCGAGGGGTATGCTGAATGGGAATTTTGGTTTTGGTAGATTTCATGGAATTTGATTTAGGGGCTCGGTTTTGCCCCCTGTGGTTGCCTGGTTTGAAATACTGGTGCAGCTAGGATATTGGTTTTGCGACTTTGAAAAGCTTGCTTCAAAGGCTTATTTCTGTTTTGTTTTCTTTTTTTGTTGTTGTCCCCTCTTATCTGAATCATATGTTGAATGAAATATTGTCTTTTTGAGGCTTTGAAAAGGTTTATTTTAAGGAATTTAGCTTTGTTCCGTGTTGTTCCCTCTGTTCGAAACTCCTGCAGTTGGTGACGTTTGATTTTGGGGCTCTTAGAAGCCTTGTTTTGGGGCTCTGTGTTACTCCTCCTGATCGTGAGTCTTCCTGTTTGTGGTTCTCTTTGTGTTGAGGCTGGTGGCTTCCCCTTTGCTGCTCCTACCCGAGAACACCTGTTTATGTTGCTTGTCCCTTTGTGTTGGGACTGGTAGCTTCCCCTTTGCTCCTCCTACCCGAGAACACTTGTTGGTTGGTTGTGTGGGCTGCTGCCCTTATCCGTGAGCATCCCAGCTGGTTTTCTTTTGTCTTATTTGGTTGTTCTCTGTTGTCCCTGGCTGTGAATACCTGCAGTTTGGTTGTTCCCTACTTCCCCCCTTTTGTCAACACCTGGTTTGGTGGTTTTGGTTTGCTACCCTGCCCGTGAGCATCCCACCTAGTTTTCTTTTATCTTGTTTGGTTGTTCTCTGTTGTCCCTGGTTGTGAACATCGAGGTTTGGTTGTGTGGGTTGTTGCTCTTACCCGAGAGAACTGGGTTGGTCTTTTTTTTGTGTTGGTCAGGTGGCTACCTATTGTACCTAGCCGTGAGCATCTGCATGGGTCCCTGGGTGTTGTGTTGGGTTTCATACCTCAAGGAAGCTTTAGTTTGGGTGGAATGGAGAGCTTGAAATATTTTAATCCTTATGCTTGGAAGAATTCGGATGACCCTTTTCAAGGAACAATCTATTAAATATTAGGAGAGAGTCCAGGGCTCAATCCTTTGGACTGAATTGATTTCAATATAAAAAAAGAGAGAAAAGAGAGATGAGAATTTCTTTTGGCATTTTTGGGGAAGGCTTGGGGTTGGTCTGGAATCCTCTATAATGTCTTTTTAGAGATGTGTTGGAGTTAGCATTGAGGAGAGTGCTCCATTTCATTGCTCAATCAAGGAGTCCCACCGGTTGAATATTTTAGGCTAACCCTCCTACCGCTTTGGCTTTCCTTGCTAAATTAATTTTGGAGGCGGGTTAGTCTTCTTTTGTTTCTCTTACTTTTCAGTTCACATTCTTTGCTTCTTGGTTTGGGTATTAGGCGCTTATGTCTGAAACAAAAGTGCGCATATATAGTTGTAGCTATATATGAAATCATCAAGCAAGGTCGTAAGTTGGACAATTTTTTTGGGGTGTTAGGCCTTGATGATAAAGACATTCGGTGGTAGAGCAAAATAATATTTCATCCTCCGACATCGGGACCCAATCCCGGAACCCAGTGAAATGTAGGATGACAATATTATTCACCGACACCAAGCTAGCAGGACACCCTTGCCTTCTTAGGTTGTTGGCATTCCTAACACGATGGTGCGATCGACTTGTAGACAATCATATTAAAAAAAAATGATAAAAATAGATACGATAAGAACAGATACGTCATTTACAAAAATATTTTGACTAAAAAGATATGTATTACTTTCTCTTATATGCATGAAACATATATGCATGCTAAAATATAAATTTTAAGTAACATAATTCGGTTGTCCACTTATCAATTGCCGATACTGGGCTAAGAAGTACCCTCCTAAGTTGGTATAGTAGAACATCTTTCTAGTTGAATTTCGGGCTCTATACATATGGGTGACCGATAGTTACATTCGGAGTCCCTCGAGAATACCTAAATCTGAGCCTAGCCTGACTCAAATGCTTACAGTTTTCTTTTTTTCTTCAGAATTTTCGTGTGTTTCCTACGTTTTTATCGGGATTTTTGTAGATCATTCGTGATTTCCGCCGGATTTTCCTCATGTTTTTGACGGTTTTCTTTGAGTTATCGTGGGTCATCTGCCGCTTTTTCTCAATTCTTTTCAGGACCCGTCGACCCGTCAGATATATAGGTTTACTTTACATTTACAGTGTTTACTTTCGTTACTGCACACTTTACTGCATAAACATATAGTTCATGTTTGCAATATTACTGTTTTACTGTTTACTGCGTTTCGTAGCATGTTCCATTTTATAATTCATGTTGCTTCTATAGACTTGCAAGGGATTTTTAAATTAGAGAGCAGTATGACATCTGGTTTAGGAGGTACCCGTAGCGAGCCCCTGACCCAATAACTGTACATTTATACACAACACAACCCCGAACTTATAATTGATATGTTAAGGAGCTTAGAGTAGTTTTTCCAAGAAGCGGAGCGTGGAAGCAAGCGGACTGAGAGCGGCAATCGAGACCACGACAACGAGATGTAGAACGTCTCTTCAGAGTTAAGATTCAATCGTAGGATAGTTAGGAAGTCCCGGAGTTCCCTCGAATCAGTAACATCCCCTACCTTTCACTCTATTGACTCCTGAAAAATAATTGTTCCTATTTTGAGTCATTCCCTTTTGATTTCCTTATATTTAACATTGGAAACCTAAAATTTGCAATCTTGAAGGTAAAACCATTGATCTTAATCGAGAATTTTCTTAAGTGATTCTGGTCATTTATTATGTAATTAACTATAGAGG